TGGTTTGGGAACACTGCCTCCATCCTTCCCCTTTTGCAGCATTTCACATCCCAAATCTCACCCATACATTCCTCAAGGGAGGCTGGTGGAGCAAGACTTTTCTCTGAATTTTATCCTGATTTTTTTTCTGATCACTTTGCCTATGGGGAGTTGCATCTCTGTCCTCCAGGTTTCCCCACCCAGACAATGACAGTAACCCTGCCAGCCTCAGCTGTCAGGCACCTGAAGCTCTGTTCATTACTCATCAGGAGAGTGGTAAGAACTGGTTATTTTTAAAATAAATTAATATTATCAGTGGAGAAGAAGCAGTTACCACAAAAAGCACTCATCAGCTCTTGAAAGACCCTGGAAGATCAATGGTTTAGTTAATGTCATTCTCGCCAAGTACTAGCCTGGAGAGATCAGAGCTGCCAGAAACAAAGTCAGGCAGATTAATGTCCTGACCTGGTCCAGGTTTCCTGCTGAGCCTGACTGATCCTGGCAAAAGCTCATGTGCCTAGAAACATACTCTGAGACCAGCATGCTTACAGAGTAACTAATTTCCTTCAAATTAAATCAATGTGAAGGTAATCTCATAAGCAGTGGACAGGGATCAGACAGATAAAGCTGACGTGGCAGCCAAGGGGTCCCTGAGGGGCTTGCAGCAGAAAGCAGGGAGCAGGAACACAGATACAAGGGTGCTTTGGCTACAAGGGCTTGGGGTGCCATGCAACAACCCTGAGCTGCCAGAAACACCCACAGCTGCCCCAACAGGCAGGTCCTCCATTATCCCCCCAGGTCTCTCCTACCCACCCCAGAAAGAAAGGAAAATTAAATTACAGCATCCCAAACGAGACTGTGAAGCTCATGGATGCTCACAGGGAAGCAGCAGGCGTGTCCTAAAGGCTGGTGTGATAAACACCTCAGGGGGTGCCACCAGGCATGTATTCAATGAATACATAAATGATGGCTCCTCTTATTTCTCCTCCATCTTCCCATTTCCTACCAGTTGCCCTGGAAACTTCCCCGTCACGAGGAGCAAAGTCCAAGAGAAGAAAAAAAAAACGTCTGCAAAGCCTTCGTGATGTAAAAGCTCGCGGCCAAGCAATTGCAGAGGAAGATTTCGGGGAGAGCTGTCCCTGTACCAACCTGCCTCCCTCCCACACACTGCGCAGCTTGGCCCTGTGTGATGGGCACAGACCCCCTCCCCGGAATAAGCCCCACACCCCACACAGAGCCCGCGGGGCATCCTCGGCGGGATCACCACGGATCTTCCCGCCCGTTCTTCACACAAAAGGCTGCACAGACGATCCCTCCTACGTAGACGCTGTTGCAATCCACAGAGAATTGGCTGATATACAGAAAAAGAGGGGTGAATGACCTCCCAGGAGACCTGGGTACTTTTCCAACCGGGATGCAAGCAGCCACACCCAGAGGCTTGCAATTAATTCCCCATTAGGATAAACTCCAATTTGGCTGAGGTAGGAGGAAAGCGTACAAGATGTCTTGTTCTTCTGCAGAGAGCACCTGCAATTCATGGGGGAATAAAAAAAAAGAAAAGAGAGTTAAAAAAATACAATCCCAATCCTCAATTCTACTGAAGGAATTAAAAGGCACTGGAACAGCAGAGCCAGCCTGTCCTGAGGATGCCAGGCTATGCTGGAGGTGTCTCTGGAGCATTTTGCCCCAGCAAACGCTGTGACCTCGGGGGGAGATGCAATGTCCACACCTCGTGTCCAAGCCCCACCATCCAGGACTGGAGCAGCTGATGTTCTGTGTGACCCACACTAGAAATTTCTGTCTCTGCTCTGAAGGGAGATGCCCACAGCAGGCAGAGGGGGGCATGACTGTGCTCAATATGCTTCCTGTCCCCTCTGGTTTCACAGGCTCTGCCATCCAGGACTGCCACCTCAGCACCCAAATCCCACTCCTCTTGCCTGTCCCGAGGTGGGGACACCACACAAGGAGCAAATACCGTAACTGAGCAAGGCCAAGCAAGGGGAAAACCCCACCTCTCACCTGCAGTGCACGCTCAAGTACATGTTTAATGCAGATTTTGTATAGAATGCATTTTTATGGATACTGCATGTATTTATAAAGATCTTTATATTCACACCTTTACCCTGCTTAACCATTTAGCCAAAGATTGACCCATTTGAGTGGCACATCACAGCTGCTGCTGCACAGTGCCCAGTCTGTGCATTGCCCACAGTGCCTCGAATAAGCCCAGGATGAGAACAAACCCAATCTCCCCTCCCATGGAGTTATGCCTCCAGGTCATGAACCCATCGATCCCACCTGCCAGGTTTATTTTCTTAAGGCTTAAGAGCGCTGGCTCAGAGGAAGGGTGGGGGCACAGGGCTTGTGGCTCCTCACACCTCCCACGTGTCCAGGAAATACCCTGCCTGTATGTGGGGCTCAGCTGCTCTCAGACACTTCCCCTGCACACCCCCAGAGAAAGAAAATATTTATATATCATACACCTGTAAAAATACATAGCAACAATATAGGAAAAATATGTAAATATATAAATAGCATAATATAAAAAAGCTTGTTGTGTATACAAACATATGTTTATAAAAATACATAACAAATAAATATATTTCACACACATACACATGCATACAGCAAAATATTGAAAATCTGAAACGATGGAGCCAGGGAGAAGGCCCAACATTCAGGTGCAAACAGAGGAGAGAGCAATGCTGGAAGTGTGCACAGCATAGATGGAGCCAAGGATTGCCCCAATCCTGGCCTGTTCCACAACCTGCCATCAAGATAAGTTAAATGCAACCCACCAGCTTCCTTGTGCTTCTCTGGCATCTTCTGGCCAAGGCACCTCCTCAACATGCCTGCTTTGTGGTGTCTCTTCAGCTGGCTCTTCAGTCCTTCCCAGGACTGTTTTTCTTTTCGCTTTTCCTCCGAATCCCATCAGAAAATGTGAGCGGCTGTCAGGATGGGAAGCAGAGCTGCAGGATAGGGCTGGTGGTTCCCTGGGGGAGTGGCCTGGTGGCTCTACTGCTTTACCTGGGAGAACCTGGCCCACCAAAAAAGGACAAATTCTTAATTTCCCAGCTGGACTTGCTCCCAGAGCCTGGAAAGGATAATTTAAAGCCAGCTATCGATTGAGCCCACAATTGCACACGTTCCCTCCCCGAATCAGTTCTTGCTCAGGTGGATTGACAGCCACCACCACAGCTCCCAATATGGAGGTAAAAAACCCACTTGCAAACAGCTTGTACTGGGCTCCACCTCAGCATACAGCTTTTAGCAACCCAGTCTATGCCAGGCACATGAGCCACACTCACTATTTCTTTGTGATGCTTTGAAGACACATTGCAGGCACCAAATGTTCAACGCTTCACTGCCAGCTAGGGAAAACTCCACTCCAGAACTCCCAGTAAAGGCTCTTGCTATTTCACACTGTATTTCATCTGTCCATGTGTTGAAGAGTTTTAATCCTGCACCTATGTATAGTCCTGCACCAGCAATTTCCAATGGCAGCCAGAAAGAAAACACAGCACCCTAGTTAACAGAAAAGACTCTGGAGCCAAGTAAACAAAATGACAGTCTTATAAACCAGAGGCATTTGTCCCATTAAGGATTCCATTTGTAGACAGAATAACAAGGGATGAGTTATCTGGAAGCAGAGACTTTTAAGGACATGGATAATGTAACAGCAACAGAAATGCTGTAACTGCAAGACCTTCGCTCAGGAGTGACTCAGCACAGCAGCTGCATCCTGGAAAATTAATACTTCAGCCTCCCCAAAATGCCTGCAAAGCCTTTGAGAGCTTGCAAAAACCAACCCTGGAAGCCCCATCAGCCATCTGATCTGGCACAGCTATGGGGATTAACACACATCCCCACCCCGGCGCAGGGCGGGGACGTGCAGAGAGCTCCAGCAGCAACCGTGGGGACTCGAGGCACTGCTGTCAACAGAAAGCAATCATATTTTGGAGTCAAAGCTAAAGGAAACCATCCTTCACCACCCCCAAATCTCCAAAATGTCTCTCTTCACCCTATCACGGGCCCCCTGTTCCAAACCCAGGGGTCCCCAAGCAGAAGCAGCTGTTAAGGAGGTTAACGCAGAATCATGTCAAATAACAAACACCTAGTATTTATTAATAAATTAGTACACTGGAAGGCAATTTTTCAATTCATTTCCCTCTTCCCCCACTCCCACCCCCTTCCCACGGGGCAGCTCATGCCACCCTCGTATCATTACTTCTTCAGATTGAGCGTAGTACAGACTGTTCGTTACGGGAGCATAATAATTGCAAATATAATCAGACAGACTTCTTACGATGCAGCTTTTCCTCCCCCCTCCCCCCCCAAAACCTCTTTTAATAAAAAGTGAAGTGTGATTTGAAGAGACTATTAGAGACCACGTAAGGTCTTCGAAGAACTTATCGGCCACGTCTGTATAAAAAACAAGAGACACGAGTGTAAAAGCAGAGCTTGGTTTAAGTCTTACAGCACGAGGAGAGCGGGACCACTGGTGGCCACCTTCGCCTCCCCACGTCCAGCACCGGCTCCCTTGGGGGCCCCACCATTCCCACAAGGCAGGATAACTCCTTACATTCGACCAGAGGCAAAGGACCTTTCCATCACCTCGGAGGTAGGTGGGACTCGACCCTTTTCTTTTGCGGTTAAAGCGCTTCTGCTGTAGCGTACTAGGAGCGCGATGCATTGTCCAGGTTAAAACCATACAATAAATAACCGTGCTAGTAAAATCTCAGCAATGGATATGAGCCAAACAATAGTACATTAATAAAAAAGTCAGCTCGGGTGGGAAGCTTAGCTGCGTTAAGAGACAGTAACCAGCAACAATTGGGGGGGGATTTTTTGCGTGTTTTTGCCATTTACTGCTCCGAGGCGAAGGGAGGTGATGGGAGACGGTCACTCTGAGCGACAGCTTTGACAGAGGAAGGGGGTTACAGAGCAATCCCCAATTCCATGTGTTAAATTACACCAGATCTGTGGTCTTTTAGTTCATTAGCTGTGGTTTTTTCGTTGTGTTTCTTTTTTTTTTTTTTTTTCTTTAAAGTGCATCAGCTGATCTGATTGGAATGAGAATAAGGAGGAGAGAGGTTTGGGAAGGGGGCAGAGACTTGGACTGAGAGCGATAGTTACGGTGGAGGGGTGCAATGCTGGCAAACTGCCCCCCCTCCAAAAACCAAGGACACCTCAACGAAAATACTGGCCATATATTCTACAACAAAACCTGCCTGCGTATTGTCGTTCATCTTAACGAGTGCCAAGCTAGCTCTAGCAGATATTCGGAGAGTGTGTGGTGACCCAGTGCCTACAGTAAATCGGGAAGGTGGCTATAGACAGAGTCCAGGAGGGTCTGGCTGGCTTCCTGGCTTTTGACTCCGGCGATCTCAAATAGCCTGTCCAGCTTGTCTTCGGCCTGCGGGATCTCCTCTATCACGTGGAGCTCCTCGGGATTGAGGATGTGCAGCATGTCGTCAAAGATGGGCTGCAGGTCGCAAGGGTCCAAGCGCACCTGGCGCAGGACAGTGTCCTTCTTTTCTGTGGGAGGAAAGGAGAGGGTGGTCAAGAAAACTCCTTAAGGAACCTCTGCTAACCAATGTTGGTTCTCCTCGGACCATTCTCTGGTGACACCTCTGGAGAGGGACACGTCACAAGGAGAACTGAGGGAAAAGGCGGAGGGTGACTGGGAGGAGAGAAGATGGAGAAGCCAGGGCTGCTGAGGCACCTCAGCCAGGATCCTGCAAGAGCAAACACAGCACTTGTAAATGCTGAATGGCCAATGCAGAAAAGTGAGGGCAGGAGGGGAGCCAAAAAAGCTGAATTCTGCTCTTTCAAGTTGTTTTCGTTGGGTCAGCTTTATTTACACAACCAAGTATAAATTTGGTAGATTGACTGAGCTCAGTGTTTCACCTTCGTCAGAAGTTAAAGACTGATTAAATGCAGCAGGTTAAATACAGTAAATTAAGCCCTCCGAAAAAAAGAGGGGGTGGCTAATGGTACTTTACATACCAAGTCACACGCTGCAACAAACAGGACCAAGAGTGAAAAAAATTTAAAAAAGAAAGCAGTCTTGAAATTACAAATTACATTCTCTGGTTTCAACTCCTAAAGTAACACACAGGCCAACTCAATAGCAAAAGGCAGGAGAGATGTCCAAGGATGCTACAACTTTAAAGATGTTTTTCAGTCTGAAATCTTTATCCTCTTTGCCAACAGGATACTCTGGTCTAGAATGCGGATGTGATAAACATATCCTGGAGGGCCAGTTCTTCTAGTTATTTGTTTAATGATATCGTACATTGAGCAGCTTTACAACACGTGCTGACCACATGGGACATGTCGTGGCAACCCTTCAGTCCTCCCATTCCCCGCCAGGCTGATTTTGGTACCTTTGGTAATAAAAGAGCCTGTCCGGCTGAGCGCGGAGGAGCCGCTGGAGGTGGAGTCGCACCGCAGGAGGGGCTCTGCTTCATCCACGAAGAAGCATTTCTTCTCAGAAGGAGAGGGCTCCACGGTGAGCACGGCAGCCTCCGGGGGCTTGGGGCTGGGGGTGGGCGCGGGGCTCACCGGGCTGGGGCTCACCGGCAGCTCCAGCTTGTCACCTTCCAGCTTTGGGGGGAGGAAACGGAGGGAAAATTAACTTAGGGTGGATGCCATGCAATGGGCCCACACTCAAAACCAGCTGAACTCTGGCTTCCAACACGCCCCAGCCCACCCTCAGCAAGTGGTCCCCGTATTTGGTGGCTGTCTCATCCCAGGGGACCTGGAGTCCCAGAACAGGCACTGGAGATGACCCAGGGTGAACATCAGCACTGGCATTTGGGACATCAGGCAGGAGGGTTAACACAACCCGCACCCTTGGTACCTTTGGTAGGACCAACCACTGCACCAGGATGGTGCCTGCAAGCACAGCAGAGCATTTTAGCTCAGTTTTCCTTCTCATCCTCAGTTTGCTAAAGCTCAAAGCACAGCTCTTGGGGGCAACTGGCAATGATGCCCAAGCAGGGAAGCTGTTGCCAAAACCTGCTCCACAGCTACTGTTTGGTTAAAAGCAAGGTACAGCCTGGCTCCACAGCTCCAACCAGGCTGCAGGGCAAGAGCTGTGTAACCCCTCAGTGATTCCCACTGCAGCCTGTGGCTCTGACCAGCTACACCGGTCCCACTTCAAGTTAATTATTTGTTTGCCCCTTTTGTTTGCCCTTGTTCCCATGAGCACCCCGTTAAAGCCTGATGGAGAAGTCTGTCCCACCAGACTGTAAGTTCAGAGCAAGGAAGGACAGGCAGGAGATGGCACTGACCACAGTGTCACTCAAGTGCCTTTGCTTTTTCCTACCCTGATGTGAGCCAAGGGCAAGCGTTTGGCTCCACAGTCCCAAAGACACAGGCACAAGCACTGCTGGGAAGCAGCACTGTTTGACAAGTGACAGGTGACAAGTTACAGGACGAGAAGAAATGGCCCCAAGCTGTGCCAGGGGAGGTTTAGACTGGATATTAGGGAAACTTAATTCACCAAAAGGGTGGTCAGGAATTGCAATAGGCTGCTCAGCAAAGTGGTGGAATCACCATTCCCAAAGGCATTAAAAACCTTGTGGATGTGGCCTTGAGGACATGATGCAGTGGGTGAACATGGTGGTGCTGGGTTAACAATTAGATCTGATGACCTCTGAGGTCTTTCCAACCTTCACAGTTCCATGATTCTATGATTTCCACTTCCTAATTTGACTCTACTCTGCATCTTCCTTCTTGGATCTCCTTCCCACCTGCATGGCAGCAGCCAACATTATCTACCCTCCTCCATCTCCCAACATCCCCTCGAGGGGCAAATCTCAAGCACAGCATTTCTTTTCTCCCATTCCCTGCAGGGATGAGGTGCCCTGGGCAGCATCCCTGCCTGGCAGCTTGGGCACCTCTGCAGATCACCAGGTCCTTGTGAACAGCTTGCTTTAAGTGCCATCCAATATTTAACCATCTTCACAAACCCTGCATCCCTGTTTGACCTGCCAGAGAACAGAATTTCAAGCCCTGTCCACATGCAGTTCCCTCTCCCAACAGCATTTCACATCCATTTTCTCCTTCTACAGAGGAAAGACCAGGCTACTCCTGCTAACACGCTTTTGCCTAGTACTCAGGGATAAAATGCCAAACTGGGATTAAAGGCTGTGGGAAAGGGAGCTGCTGAGCCACCTCCGCACCGGCATGGATGTGCCTGAACATTCCTCATCCGTGTCGAGGAATTCAACACCCACAAATCACATGTCTGCTGGGACGCCCATTAGTTCACATTAAATTAACATTGAAGCCTGTTCCTGGTAGAATAAAAGGGTTTTTTTCTCCCCTCATTGAAAATAAACAGGGGAGGATTTGTTCTAGCTCAGCACATTACGCAATAGGCACGTTAAAAATAAAAGTCAGCTTTAATTTTTAATTAAAAGAATCTGCCTTCTCCTCTGAAACTCCCTTTCCAGAACAGTTCATCATGGAGAAATCAGCTACTGCCATTAAGGGGGAATATCAAGGGAAGGACCAGAACAGCAGCTGGCCGCTTTCCAAATTGTAATATGCTCTGATAGCCCCTTTAAAAATAACACAGGCTTTAAGGGTTAGTTTTTCCTTGTGCAGCTCATCTACTTAATATCCAACAACAAACCCATCTACTAATTCCCAAAAAGGGGCCTGATGACTGAGCAGCAATTGGCCAAGGGAGGGCAGGGAGCAGACAGCTGCCCTAGCTCTGTCTTCCCAGCAGAAGGGAAAAGCCCTTCCCTAAACCAACTCATTTGGAGTTTAATTAAACAGCTGCTAAAACACGCTAGGAAAGACAAAATCACCCGAGGTTATTTGACTGTAGCCGTACCGGGAGCCCAAGGCTTTCCAAATAGCTGAACAGTTGCGAGCTTGAGGCAAAGCAAACAGGATGCTCAGATGTGTGTTAATATTTAAACCACGGGAAGAAAGCAAGTGGGAATGAGGGCTTTGAAAGACCAGCGAATGCAGGAGGTTGCTGAGAGGTGAAGCCTGTGGAATATGTCAAAAAACACACTATTCATAGCCCATGACTCATTTTGTTGAAACCACCTTGGCCATTCCTATTTTTAAGAACGGCGGTGCTTGAGTGAAACCGAGCTCTGCCTGGGAAAAAATCCCACCAAAAAAAAAATCAACCTCTTGCAGCCCTTTTGCCTTTCCAAAGATACCAAATTTCTCACCTTTACGTCCTCGTTGCCGGGGTCCTGCGCTTGCCACTGAGGCTGCATCTGCACCTGCAGAGACAGACACGTGGGACACTGTTAGATGGACAGTCCAGAGTGGAAACTAAAGGCACTGCGGTGGCTTTGACACATCAGCAGCCTCCTGCGACCCATCAGTGGCACTGGGGCACTCTGCCAACTTTTTGTAATTTTTTTTTTTTTTTTGAGCACTGCAGTGAGAGACTTTCAATGCCAAAAAAATATTAATAAAAAAAAAAAATCCTGAAAGCTCCACTGTACTTGCAGCTCTTTAGACTGCAGTTCAAGCACCTCTTGGATCCCAGTGCGTGTGGGAGGATGCTCTAAGCAGCTCAGGGTGTCTCAAGGTCCTTCCTAAATGGAAGAAAAGGGGACAGAAGGGGATGGGGGCAGAAGAAGACACAGGCTTGGCTTTGTTTTCTTTTCACAGCTGCTCTCAACAGCTCTGTTTGAACTGGTTGGGTCCCATTTTCTGCCTCCGTTTTACAGTACCGCAATAAAAGCTTAACTCAGGCAAACAGAAACTGCAGCTGCTGTGCTAATATTAGGAAGGAGCGGCAGTAAGCACTAAAAAACACCCTTCCCTCAGGCGATGCTTCCCAGTAATTCCTCCCGCAGCAACCCGGCAGGAACAAAAGCCGGTGGCAGGTTGGCTGCTGCCGAGGGTGGCTGCGCACCCTCCTGGATGTGTGTGGGGGGGATAAATTTAGCACCGAGGCAGCCGTTTCCCGGATTCCCTGCCAAAAGATGACACCCAGCTGACACCAGCCCTATTCCCAGGTCTGTTATGCCTCCCTAGGGCATGTGGGAGGAAAAGCCCCCACACAAGAAGCAGGGTGGGTTGGGTGGCAGCCTGGAATAGGCGATGCTGCAGGCACAGGGTGGTGTTGAGGGGGGATGCTCTCACTATGGTCCCTACAGGCACAAGGGAGGATGGATCAACAGCTTCGTGGTGATCATGGTGTTTGGGGATCCACCTTAAGGGAAGAACAGATCTTGGCAGGTGAAACACCACTGGGCAGGCCAGGAGGTCTCACTGAGGTGGCTGAGACAGTGATACTGTGTGGTGTGGCAGAGCAGGAGGCAAGCCCTTCGCCAGGAGGGGAAGGGCATGAGGATGTTGGGGTGGGAAAGCCCAGACTTCCTCTGTGCCCTTTATATCACAGTCAGGTTTCAGAAGAATGCTCGACCCATCTCTGTGGTGGAGCTGCATCCCTCAACACAAGGCAGCCCTGGAGAAGAGCTCCTCAAATCATGCCCCACACAACCCAGAATGGGCAATGCTGGATCTGGGGAAGGTTTAGATGACTAAAGCACAGCCACCCACGGAGGAAGCAGCTCTTCCCCTTCTGTCCTGGCCATTTGAGGGCAAAGTGCTTCTCCAAGCAGGAGATGCTGTCTCCAAGAGAGCTCCTGGTGGTTTCTCCTTTCTATGGATTTGCCTACCCACTTTTTCAATTCAAACCATAATGAAGAGTTGACGAAAATTCTGATAAAGAGTTTCCAAACCCAATTACAGGTTGAGTAAGTTGATGCTGAGTTTGGCTAGTACAAGAAACCATCTTCTAGTTTCTTCTTAAGCACCCAAACCCATTACACTGCAAACACACAGACCCCAGTAGATGTGGCCACAACAGCAGGGAAACCCCAAATATCACTGCACCTATAAAGTTTCTATTTTTGTGTTTATGTTATTTATATTTGCATTACTTTATAAATAATTACATTTTTGTTTATTGCACATTTCCAGCATAGTTCAAGCTCAAACTGAAAATCAAGTCATGGTTTAGAGCAAACTTGGAGTGATGCTCACTCCAGCAAAACCCAACCAGCCCTACCCCTTCCCCAGGGCTCTGGCCACTTTACCCTACAGCTTTGTGCCTCAAATAAAACCTGATGCAAGTCCAGAAGGAAAATTCTGTTCCTTTCCTGGCTGCCTGGGCATTTCCCAGCCCTCTAACCACAGCCTCCTCCAGCTGGGAAATCCATCCAACCACTTTACCCTCACTCCCACTGCTGACACATGAAATGAACACAGAACAAATTTAATTCCTAATTACTAGGCCCAGCCCAGTTCTGCGTTGCCAAAAGAGGAAATGAAGGGGATAGGTAGGAGCTGACAGTGGCTGAGGGAACGCTGCTCCAGGCTCAGCAACCCACCCCACCCCCCTCGGGGTTCTGATCAGTGAAAGAGCAAGAAAAGGAGCCACAATGCATCGCTACAGCTGCAAGCCTGGACATGGGGCTGCTTTCACATCCTCTTCTCCTCTGGCACCCCCCAAAACCCCACAGCTTAACCACACACCAGACCCTGCCTCAACACATCTGCTGACTCATGGGATTATTCACAACATGAAATTAGCCAGGAATCTAAACTTCGGTGGGCTCGGGGCTACAGCCTCCCCCTTTCCACTTTCAACATCTCCCTTATTCATGTTGGGGTTTTTTTCCCAGCTTTGCTGAGGCTGCGCTGCTGAACTGAGGCTGTTTGCTTCCCTTCCATCCAGTCCCTGAAACGTTTCAGCCGAGGCCAGCAGAGCCATAAATAAAACGATAAGAGCTTAAAGCACTGCTCACAGCAGGGCACTCAGAGTAGCCAATAGGGCCGGCTGTGCCGGCTCCACCCCAGGCCAGTCCAGGTGAGCACAGACTCCCCCGGTAGCTGCAAAATGCTGTTATGCACCACAAACAAACAAAAAAATCTCATTACCCAGTGAATTCACTGAGCTTTTCTGGTTTTAACCCCCAAAATGGAGAACTGCAATTTGCTGGGATAGCAGTGAGAGACCTCTCCCTTTTCCTCCTCCCCTTCTGTCCCCTACTTTTGTTGTTGTCAGCACCATTAATTTGTGTGCCCATGCTCGCTAAGCAGTGCCCAGGCTCACATGCTGCTGTCCAGCAAACCTGCCTGCAAGGGGAGAGATTTTACAAACCTTGAGCCCAACAAACATTAATGGCCAGGCCAGGCTTTAACAGGAGCCCTGTGAGTTAAAAGCACCCCAGAAAACCTTCCCACAGCTGCCACTCTCGCCGTATTTTCTGGCTCAGCGGCAAAAAACCCTGAGCAAAATGATTCAGAGGGCTAATCTCGGTTTAACCTAAATTCATCCAGCGCCATGCAAAACCAGCATAATCTCCCACAGCTCAAAAAGCCGGCAAGTCTGCAGCGGAGCTGTTCCTTACCCGAAGGAAAATGTTCGTGCCACGTACCGTAACGCTCCACAGAGTGCCATTAATTCCCCTATTCCTATCAGGGATTGTAAATATTTGGATTTTGGAGCACAAAAGGCTGCCAAGGGAATAGGGCTCTAGAGAAGTGAGCAGCTTTGCCTCCATACGTTTTACAAGGCGAAGCCAGACACCAGATAAAGGATTTAGGACAAGGATGCGATAGTGGGTGGGATGGGACAGGGAAGGGAGGCATTTAGGGTACTGATTTGCCATCTGAGAACTACATTATTCAACAACACAATTTTTACCTGTGAGTTGGGGGTGTCGGTGCTTTCTTATGATACAGGATCAGGGGAGAGATGGGGAAACTCTTTTGCACCCAGGGATGCTGGGCAGGTCCAAAGACATCACAGACAGCATAGTCACCCATGCATCCATCCCTCCTGGGCTCATGTAGGACACACCAGCATGCATTAAGAGACTTGCTGCTCGTTCAGGTCACCCCAAGGACATCATGCTGTTACTCAAAATCACAGAATGGTTTGGCTGCAAGGTACCTTAAAGCTCATGTCGTTCCCATGGGCAGCGACACCTTCCACTAGACAAGGTTGCTCCAAGCCGTGTCCAACCTGGCCTCGAACATTTCCAGGGATAGGAAATTTACAACTTCTCTGGGCAACTCAGCCATAGGGAAGATGCATGCATTTGCATTGCTTTTGAGAGTTCTTGTTCCCTCCACATCACAAAAAGCTCTTTTTATTCTTCTTTGTTGTTATTTCAGGGTTTTTTTGCAAGACTACTTCTGCAGGGCTGGAGGGGCCCATGCCAGCCACCAACAGGGCAACCCACTCCTTTGGATCAAACCAGTTTGGTGGGGAGAAAAACTGCCTCGATTTGTCTGCATTTCGACAGACAAATCAGCGTGAGTCAAACCTCAATTAGCTCTAATTAAAGACTTTCCAACCAGCAGATTAAGAAAAAAAAAAACAAAACCAACAAAGATCAACGTCCCTGCCTACTCCTGGCAGTGATCTCTTGGCTCCCTGGACCGCTGCGATGCAGATCAACCGTCAGCACAATTCCCCAGGGATTCAGTCTCCCATGCACAAGCTGCTTCCCACAGACTTCCTGCATCCCGCCCAGAGCCATTCTATCACCACCCACATCGACAGCGCAGGAGCCAACTCAGGGAGAGGAGGCAGACAGGTTACAGCAGGTAACACCTCGCAGAAACACAATGTGCTGCCGTGCTGAATGTGCACCCCTGGGTGCTTTCAGGCTTTGGCATCCCACACACAGCTTCAGGATCTACAGGGCAGGGCAATGGCCAACTCCTAAGGTTTATCATGAGGGACGCTCATCTGAAAAACCCCAATCAGATGCATGGGGAAAGAGGATGTGCCAGCTTGGGTGAATTTGTTAAAAAACAACTCCTTTGCTCAAACAAGCCAAATTTCTCACGTGGATCCACTTGAGCCACCTGCTCAAAAGATCAACAACCCAATTTTACCCATTTCTAGAAAAACAAGTGAAACTGCTGGGGAACCACCACGGTCCAGGTGCTGATGGACACTGGAGAATACACCGCCACACTCTTTTAAAAAACAAAGAGACACAGGAAAGGTGGTTGGGAAATCCAGAAGACTCGTGTACAGTTATCCATGAGAACTGGGTTTGCTCATTCTCTGGAGAATCCACTTGATGCATTTTCAGAGTTATGGGCACAGCCTGTGGTTACTCCATCAGCAGGAGTCCACCGTCCCAACAAGTGACACAGTAAACCCTGCTCCTGGAGCTACCACCTGCATTTTTGTGCTATTTGATAAGCACAACCTGATGGTCTTGGTCTTGGCCAAAAGAGCGCAAGGCTCGGGAGCATTTGGCACTGCACAGCCCAAGCCTGTTAATCAGGCATCATTCTGATGAACAAGCCCCATGTTTTATTCTGATGCCCTTGTCCAGCGCTTTGCCATAGAATTCAAAGTGAAAGCAGTAACTAGGAGGACAGAGGTTACTACCTACTCCAGGAGAGCAAGAGGACAATGTGTCCTTCTGGGACACTGCACATACCAGAAACTTTTATTCACATACGCAAAATGACAATTTTCTCTGCCTCCCTCCTCTCCCTAACCATAGCTTTGTCTTGGGCTTTTAATTTCATTTTTTACCATCAATGAGAAGGCCACATGCTGCTTAGTTACCAGGAGCTGTAAGGAAAAAAACAGTAATTGAATGGGAGCAGCGGAGCTGAGGCAGCTGGCAAAGGGAACCTATCCAAGATCTGAGCAGGGAACGCAGGGCGATGCTCGGCACACTCCTGACACAGGGTCTCTCAAAAACACAAGCCCAGGGCTCCTGCCAGTGCATAAAACCCTGTGATTTCACATGATGGTTAGAAGGGACCAAGATGTTTCATACTCTGAGTGAAGTGATTTAAGATATGCAAGACAGTGAACGGACAACAGTCTCCCTTATAGGGTGAAGTCTGTGATGGTCAAATCAGGATTTGGAAAACCCCTGCCCTAACAAACGCTATGCCCCATAAGCTTTACTATCTGTCAAGGTCCACCTTGCCAGGCCCCCACCAAGTGCCCAGAGAGGTCTGCAGGCACCCACCAGCTCCCATTTGGGTCTGGGTCACTGCTGAGGCAACAGGAAAAGTTTCAGCAACCAGTTTAGGGAGAAGAGCCCTCCCTCAACCTCCCCCACTTCATCCATGTGCTGCCCAATTGGCATCCCATTCAGAAAAAGCCCCATCCATCACCTTTAGAAAAGCTTCCAGACCACTGACTTACCAGAGCCAAAAAAATGAAACAAGTAAAGCAGCAGTGGCCAAAATAAACTGCAAAGGTCACTGAGGCACCTTCCAATAACTTACACCCAGCTGAGAACCTACTGCAGGATGTTCTGCTGCAATTTATTTATTCTCCCAAAATACAGGACAGGTCGTTTTAAGGCCAGGGCTGCCAAAGAGCAACTCTGGAGGAGTGCACTCATGGACTCCCCCATACTACTGGTCACCATCTCAGAGGAAGCAGCTCTTTTAGTACTCAAGCCTACTTGGCCCTTCTCACAAAATCCATGGCTTTTAATTACATTTAAGAGCAAGTTTAAAGGGGGATGCTTTTTTCTCCATGTCCCTGACAAAAGGGCTCAGGTACCAGGTCCTCCTGGCGATCTTCAAAGATAATGTGCAAAGCAACAACACACGGGACTTAAGAGCTCATCAAAACTTTTGACTAAGATTTGTTGGGCAGAACTTTGCTCCACAGCAACGTACAACTTAAAATAATCCCCCTGAGGAGCTCTGTGGAGAGAGGGAGCCCAGCTTAGCTCTCAGCTGAGCTCCAGGCCACAGCTGGGTGCCCTGCCTCCACACGCTCTCCAAGCCCACGCGGAGCCCAGCCCGTCGTTACCGGCGTGGTGTCCTCCATCAGGCCGCGGATCTTCTCCACGACGTCGTTGCGGCGGTGCTGGCGGAGCGCGCTGATGAGCTGGGCCAGGCTGGCCTCGGGCCCACGGATGGTCCAGTGCTGCAGGGCGGCGTAGGCACGCTCGTGGTCGGCCGAGTAGCCATTGGAGAACGCCGCCACCTCCCGCTCGCTGGCGTTGCACAGGAACTGGTAGATGTCCTTCCACTGGCTCCCCACCTGGGCGGCCACCAGCTTCAGGATGTCGATGCCTACGGGGGAGGCAGAGAAGCTACAGGTGAGACACGGGCGTCTGCAGGCTTTAGCAAAGCTTCTCTCATCCCCAAATAGCCACGCTTTGCTTTTCTTGGGTTGATCTTTGAGATTTTGTTGTTATTATTATTATTATTATTATTATTATTTTAAGACCTTTTAGAGTCCAGGCTGCAGAGAAGCACCACCCATAGCACGCTCAACAGCTGCCTATGCACGTAAAGGGTGACAGACCCATTAGTTGCCCCAGCACACTCTAAAATCAATCCCATAATTTAGCTGTGAAGTTTCCTGCAGTCTTTGGCACAGGAAGACCCCTGGTACTCAGCCAGTGCACGGCTGCAGGAACAGGGCAGAGGGCCACGTGCTCATCCCCACGCCTGCATGGCAGCCACTGCTCTGAAAAGGAGCTGGATTAAGAGGTGAGTCACCAAAGCACCTCTATAAAGATGAGTATTTCCATAACAGAGCACCTACAGCAGCTCTGATTGCATTTAGAGCCATTTCCAGAGCGGACTGGACTGGCAGGATGACTCAGTTATGGGGTGGGAGACACTGCACCGTGTAAGCACTGGGTGAATGGAAGATCTGGTAGGAATTTTGCTCTAAGGAGTGCAAAAAGACAGAGTTTCCCCCAAAAAGACAGAGTTTCCCCCAGAAAAGCCCTTGACACATGCTGCTTTGAGATGGTGAGGGTTTTCTCCATGAAGGTTAGGGAGCAACACAAACAGCACACTTAACCTTGAGTCTCCTGACCTAGAGGTCAGGAGTTACACCTTCAAGTAAAGCTGTATCTCCTTCATAACAACTAATGAACTCTGTTTTATCAAGCTGAGCAACACCTTTTTTCCAACAACTACATGCAGGGTCAGCATAGGTGAGCTGCAAAGAGAAACTCACTTTTTCCAGAGAGACAATTGCACCTCAGGTTTCCAAGTGAGCCAGCATGCCCTCATCACTACAAGGAGCACTTCTCCTTCCCTCTGCAGGCACAACAGTTGTGTCAGCAAAAACAACTACTTCCAGAAGAATTATCATTGCCATGGTTTTTCCATCTGGCTTAAAATCCAACAATTTCTAACGCCGTTTAGACCAAACCTCTCAACTCCAGGTCACAGCTCTGATATAGCCAAAAAGTATATACAAAATAAAAAAATATAAATAAATACATATATATATATAAACTATACAGCTTTATATAGATATATTGCTATCTCCTTTTTATATATAAATATATATGTACAGATATGTGGTGGGTTGATCCTAGCTGGCCACCAGTTGCTCACCAAAGCCACTCTATCCCTGCCCTCCTCAGCTGGACAGGGGAGAGAAAACATAACAAAAGGCTCATGGGTTGAGATAAGGGCAGGGAAAGATCCCTTACCAGAGACTGTCACTGGCAAAACAGACTCAGCTTGGGAAAATTAGTTTAACTTATTACCAATGAAACCAGAGTAGGGTAATGAGAAATAAAAACTAAATCACTTCCCACCCAACCCTCCCTTTTTCCCAGGCTCAACTTCACTCCTGAATTGTCTCCTTCCTCCCCTCAGCAGCACAGGGGGACAGGGAGTGGGAGCTGCAGTCAGTTCATCACACAGTGTCTCTGCAGCTCCTTCCTCCTCAGGAGGAATCCTCACAGTCTTTCCCTGCTCCAGCACGGGTCCCTTCCACAGGTCAAAAGTCCTGTCAGCAAAACTGCTCTAGGCGTGGGCTCCTCACTCCCTCTCCTTCTTCACTGACCTTGGTCTCTGGAGAGTTGCTGCTCTCACATATTCTCACTCCTTTTTCTATTGCCTGAAGTTATGACTTTTTTTTTCCTCCCTTCTTAAATCTGTTATCCCAGAGGCACTATCATTATTCCTGATGGGCTCAGCCTTGGACAGTGGTGGGTCTGTCTTGGAGCCAACAGGCATTGGCTCTGTCAGACATGGGGGAAGCTTCTGGCAACTTCTCACAGAACCTACCCCTGTAGCCCCCTGCTACCAAACCCTTACCAAGCAAACCCAATACAATATACACACACCTGTATAAAACATCTATTCAGCCTGATATATATTTATATATATATTACATATACTTTTATATATTGTAATATATGATACAGTTATTTTACATATATGTGTATATAAGCTTATATTAAAAACCCCACATATACAAAAACGATACAGTTTTGTGATATTTTTGACCAAACCTCTTCTCACTTAAGGGAAGCTTATCAAGACCTGCTATATATAGACTTTAGTTTCCACTTGCAAACTAGATAACACAGCCATGAGCCCACATTGCTTGGTGCATTCCCAGCCAGTGTTCACCTCCTCTAAATCAGAAACACCAAGAAACACAAAGTACAAACCACATTTTGTACTTCCCCACCCTCCTCCCACCACAACCACACTTCCCTCCCAAGATGTTTACCAGTCATGTGCATGTACTATCTCACATGGGTTGTAAGAGTCAAAGTTTCTCCTACCAGAAAAGTTCAGCTCACCAGCCCAGCATGGGGGATGCAGCCAACCCAAAAAACTCCAAACCAACCTTGGGCTTGGTTTTAAATATGGAGAAAAAGGCTGCAGACCTGCTGTTGAGATTTATGATGGGCTTACTGATGTGTCTCAGATCATTAGATGCTGTTGCCCATCACATTACAAGAGTGCAGCAGGAATTAAGCCCGGTCTTGTTAATGCTTCCCACATGAAGACCCAGGGGTCCTCAGTTCAAGGGACACAGGTTGCCTGCATGATTCCAGGCAAATCCCAAATTCTCATCCACCGATGACTTTGCAGCCAGGTTGGCTGTCGGTTCCCGTGCAGGAAGGACAGACAGCCCAAACCACACTGGCAGCCAAGCCCTTGTGCCTTCCCATATCACATACTTTGGTCAGTAAGAAGCCCAAAAGACAACTTAGGCTTGGATTTAGGTCCTTTAAACCAGCAAATCCAACTGCTTTTGGCATAAGAGCAGGAAAATGCCAGGTTTATGCAGCTGCCACTTGATTTTATCATTCAATCCAGGGGATAAAAAATCACTAAAAATCCCTGAATACAAGGGCAGAAAAAGCTCTGCAAGGCTTGTGCACCAAGGTAAAATAAGCAATGCAAAGAGGGATGAGCAGGTTTGACACTACCTATTACATGTCTATATATAGAGAGATAATGATTTATGCACTTAGGTATATCTATATATATATAGTGCATAAGTTGTTATCTCACTGTATAAATCTTGCAGAGCTTTTTTTACTCTTGTATTCAGGAATTTATTCTTGCTGAGTTGAGTGGCATATATATAGATATATGGATAGAGATAATGCTGCCCATTTTTTTAGAGACACACACATACAAAATGAGCAGCATCAGGTCCCCCTGCCAGCACCTGCCCTGCAGCAAGACAACACGTTATAGCTGGGTGGGGGCTTTGCCCACACCCACTCCCATGCACGTCAGTCACACAGAAGTATTATAACATAATTTGCTGGTTTATGATCCCTTCATGGAACATCTAATCCACCCAGAAAAAGAAAAACCTGTATACTACCTGCTCCCATCCATGCATTTAATGCTGATAAATCCCAGTGTTTACAGCTGCTGTACTGGTGAGAAAAGTTTTCAGCTGCTCGCAACTTGATTTGTGCCGGTTTTATGCGGCGGCACAACATTTATGTCCTAATGTTCTCACACAGGATTTATGGCAAAGCGCTCATGTTCCTACTGACAGTTTCAAGTTTAGTATATTTAATCTCACCGTTCAATAAACTGGGCCCATAAACATGTTTATATCCCTTGGCAATAACATCCCAGGGCACGAGAACACACCAGGCAGCAGAGGACTTAATGGCGCGTAATAATCTTTGAAGAACAAATGTTCCATTAAAAATGAATTTGGAAATGCCTACCTTAATACTGTAAGAACCTTAAACTCATTTTCTTGCGACTATTAAATGAATTTAAGCCCCATATGTTCGCTACATCCACTACAATATTGTGCAAACAAAACCCCAGAGAGATATGGAAGAGACACAGACATGAGTGCAGATTTGGCTCCAGTCAGTAAGAAAAACACTGCTCCCTCTGTTCTTGAAAAATAAGATTAAAACCATTACATGACAAGTTGTGGCTGCACGCTGCCAAGTATTACTGCTCCAACTAAAATAAAATGGTAATGCATATAATAAGCTTACCATACCACTATTTCCATATTTGCAGAAGTCCTATGAGTTAACAATGCAGAGCACTAATAGTGCCAGAGCATCCTATCATGGTGGGAAGGTACCCAGCAAGGTGTGTGGAGCAAAAATCCCAGCTCCATCTTAGGTCCTGGGTCCTCCCCAATCCCTGAACCACGACGTCCTTCTCCAAGCAAACTTATCTTCACACTGAGGCTGGAGATGATGCTCAAAGCTCTCCAGACCCCAGCAATCCCAAGTAAAATGGCCAAGCTCAGCAGAGATGGTGCTGTAACCCACCCTCTTCACACTCTCCACGCAAGGCTGGTCACAGCCACGCTGACGCTAAAGCTGCTCTGAGCTTGCAACAGCCTGAATTGTCTTCCTTTTTTATCACAAGCCATAGGAACAGCCTGGGAGAGCTGTCACCACCCTGCTGCAAATGCAGGAGACACCACCACCCTCTACATTATCACCACTGATGACTCAGCTTTGCTTGCCTCAGACAGTGCAAATGAAAAGGAACCCCCACATCTGAATCCAGCTGAGCTGTGTTTTCCATGGCCACTACAGAGCAGGCAACAATCTGAAGGATCCAGGACATCCATGTGTGTCTTAGGTACCTGGGCAGGTGGCATTTCAATTGCCATTACCTTAACATTGCAAGTCTCTAAATGTTGTGATGGGCTACTCCCTGTAGCATCTACTATTTTAAGGTAGTGATAACCCCAGAGCAATGATGAGCTCTATTTGAAGCCAGGACAAGGCCATCATGTTGTGCATAGGCAAGTGTAAAGCCCAAGGGTGGATGCACAAACATGGTAACATGGGCACAAC